TTAGAGGCTTTTCTTGCTACCCACCCCCTCCATGTTTTAAATACAGGTACTCACACCCATTTTGATCCTCGGACTCATACTCTCTCTTGCATCGATCTCTCAGTCTGCTCTTCCTCCGCCACATTAGACTTCACCTGGTCTGTTCTCCCGGATTTACATGACAGCGATCATTTCCCAACCATACTTACTTCCCCTTCATATTCACCACCTCTTCGTAACCCACGCTGGCACTTTGATCAGGCAAATTGGAACCTTTACTCACAACTAACTGTTTTTCATGAGGTTCCTTCTTCGTCCTCCATTGATGAGCTTTTACACCTCTTATCCTCCGTTTTAACCGCAGCTTCTCATTCTATACCCCAAACTAAGGGCAGGCATTCTCAGAAATGCGTGCCTTGGTGGTCTCTTGCTTGTACTCGTGCAGTATGTTTGAAACGCACTGGGTGGGCCAGGTACTAGTATAATAGAACCATGGAGAGACTTCATGATTTTAAGCAGAAGCGTGCGATCGCTCGCCGTGTCATCCATGACGCTAAACGCACTTGCTAGCGAGATTATGTCTCCACCATCACCTCTGCTTCCTCTATGAGTGCAGTCTGGAAAAAAGTACGAAAACTGAGTGGTAAATATTCTCCTGACCCGGTTCCTGTTCTGCAGGTTGCTGGTGTTGATATAGCAAACCCACTAGATGTTGCCAATGAAATTGGCAATCATCTGGTCTGTATTTCTCAGGGGCTCCATCTATGCCCCTCGTTTCTTTCTTCAAAGTCTGCCAGAGAGTTAGCACCCTTGGACTTTTCTTCTCTCAAAAAAGAACAGTATAATGTGCCTTTTACACTTCAGGAACTGGAGGCAACACTCTCAGCTTGTCGATCATTGGCAGCTGGGCCCGACGACATTCATATTCATATGCTATAACATTTACATCAGTCAGCACTTGCAGTCCTATTATGCTTTTTCAATCTTATTTGGTCACAAGGAGTTCTTCCACAGCTGTGGAAATCTGCCTTTGTTCTCCCTTTCCGCAAACTGGGTACTACAGGACATGAAGCCTCCCACTATCGTCCCATTGCTCTTACCAGTGCAGTTTGCAAAGTGATGGAACGCCTGGTAAATAGACGTTTAGTGTGGTATTTAGAGACGCACAACAGTCTCTCCACTCATCGATATGGCTTTCGTAAGGGCCGTTCTACCATAGACCCCTTACTACGCTTGGATACGTATGTTCGTAATGCCTTTGCGAATAACCACTCAGTTATTGCCATATTTTTTGACCTTGAGAAGGCATATGACACAACTTGGAGGTATAATATTTTGGCCCAAGCCCACTCCTTAGGCCTTCGAGGCAATCTACCATCCTTCCTTAAGAACTTTTTAACTGACAGACATTTAAGTGTTTGGGTTAATAATGTGCTCTCCCCGGACTTTATCCAAGCTGAAGGTGTCCCCCAGGAATGTGTTCTAAGCACAACACTTTTTCTCCTTGCTATAAATGATTTGGCCTCTAGTCTTCCATCCAATATTTGGTCATCACTCTATGTTGATGACTTCGCTATTGCCTGTGCAGGCTCTGACTGTCACCTCATTACAGTTTCTCTCCAGCATGCAGTCGACCGTGTTTCCAATTGGGCCACCACACATGGGTTTAAATTTTCCAGTACCAAAACTCGCCAAATTACTTTCACTAGACGCTCTGTCATCTCCGATCATCCTTTATACCTCTATGGCACCCGTATCCCTGAACGTGATACAGTCAGGTTTCTAGGCCTCCTCTTTGACCGTAGGTTATCCTGGAAACCTCACATTACCTCTCTGAAGACAACTTGTCACAGCCGGCTGAACCTTCTTAAAACCCTTGCTCATCTTTCATGGGGAGCTGATCGTCAAACTCTCCTTCGCCTACATTCCACCCTCATTTTATCGAAACTTGACTATGGTGACCAGATCTATTCAACTGCCTCTCCTGCTACTCTCTCTAGCCTCAACCCTATTCATCACCAAGGATTACGTTTATGCCTTGGTGCTTTTCGCTCTTCCCCTGTTGAGAGCCTCTATGCAGAAGCGAACGTTCCATCCTTATCCAATCGCCGTGATGCCCATTGCCTTCGCTACTATGTACACTCTCATGATCTCCGCAATCCTTCCATTTATAGAATGGTCACCGATATTAGTAGACATTCTTTATTTGTTCGCTGCCCCTGTTTGCTCCGTCCCTTCTCTCTTCACCTACATTCGCTCTTGTCTTCTCTTCAATTTCCACCTCTCTACGTTCATGTAGCATCTCACTTTTCCCTACCCCCATGGGAAGTTCCAGCTGTTCGAGTCTGTTCTTTCTCTCTCCCTTGCTTGAAAACCCAACTGTCTACGGTAGCTTCCCGCTCTCTTTTTCTTGACCACTTCCACTCTCATTCTCATGCCATTGTAGTGTACACAGATGGTTCTAAGTCTTCTGACGGCGTAGGATTCGCAGCAGAGTTTCCGGACAGCGTCGTATGAGGGCATTTACTATCTTCGGCTAGTATCTTTACTGCTGAATTGTATGCCATTCTTGCAGCACTTATCTGTATTGCATCTATGCCTGTGTCATTATTTGTGCTTGTCTCAGACTCCCTTTGTGCTTTACAGGCTATACAGAAATTTGATACACCTCACCCCTTAGTCCTCCATATCCAACTTCGGCTACGCTGCATCTCTACCAAGCATAAAGATATTGTTTTTTGTTGGGTCCCTGGTCATGTTGACGTACAGGGCAATGAACAGGCAGACACTGCTGACGGTCAGCAGTACATGACCTACCAGTTTCATATAGAGGTGTTCCATTTACGGACTATTTTGCTGCAATAGCTACCCACCTTCACAAATGTTGGCAACGACGTTGGTCTACTCTACTCGGTAACAAACTTCAATCTATTAAACCGAGTATAGGTTACTGGCTGTCTTCTTGTCACCAGTGCCGAGGTTGGAAGACTACTCTCTCCCGTCTCCGCACTGGCCATACACATCTTACTTGTGGATATCTTATAGAGAGGCGCCCTGCTCCTCTCTGTGAGAATTGTCAGGTTCCATTATCAGTCAGCCACATTCTGTTAGACTGCCCACTTTATCAACGAGCACGCAGACTTTACCTCCAACGTCGTCTTCACTCCGCTGCTCTCTCTTTACCTTCCCTTCTTGCTGATGGACCCACCTTTCATCCGGACTCTCTCATTGACTTTTTGACAACATCTGACTTACTTCACAAACTCTGATGATACCTTCAGCCCTTTCTACCTCGATCTCTTGCTACCCTCTACCCTGCACTATCCCCTGCCCCGCTGTTTTCTGTAACCTACTGATAGCCCCTCCCCCCTTCTGCCACCCAATCCCCTCGCTTCCTTTCTTACCCTGCAGCGCTGTATAGCCCTTGTGGCTTAGCGCTTCTTTCTGATTATAATATAATATATATACAGTGAGTGCACCTTCAATATGCTGAAGCAGGTGAAGAGCTATCACAGGTCCACTATATGATAAGAATAATATAAACATCAACTGTAACAATGCATGAAAACTACATTTCACACATACTGTCAACGCATTAACAGAGAAGGCACAGCAAGTAATTAATAAAATATTTCAATTCTCCTTATTTTATCTGGTGCCTTTTTGTTTTCAGGTATCCATTTTCTACAGTTAGGAAGCCTCAAGAGTGATAAGTGGCCATTGGCTCACTAGAGCTCTAAGAGGGCCTGAGATTTATACCACCATTGTAAGTTAAGTTACTTGAAACTTAAAGACTCACTTTGAGTATTCCTTTAGTGTTTACCTTTTAGAAATGGCCAAACATAATTTAAAGTAATGTTTGGCTATTTTTGGGAAAAGATATAGTATCATTTGATTATTATTTTAATGGAATAGCAATGGTAATAAGAGTTATTATTTAACAAAAGAAATTAAAAAAATATAATTTGGCGAAATATCGAAGAAATGTAATTTGTAATACAGTATTTGACATACTGTACTATACAGTGTACAGTGTGAAAAAAATAATTGTTGTAGCTCTTCCTGTGAGTACATTCAGTGGTCCCTTGAGTTATGATGGGCTGGAGTTACGATAACTTTGAGTTACGATTTACTCTCATAAAGGAATTTAGTTTTGAGTTGCACTGAAAAATCTGAGATACGATACACATTTGTGATTTAATTATGCCACAATTTGTTTTACCAAGTCATCATGGCCCCAAAAATGAGCAGTAAACAGGCAATTTTTCTAAAGATCAAATAAGAAATTGTGAAAAGACCTAAAGAGTTAGTGCATTGGTGTGTGAGTATGACTTTCCACAATCAACCAACTCTACTATTATCAAGCAAAAAGAAATTATAAAGAGCATTAAAGTGACTGATGAAGCTAAGCTAGTGAGAAAGACAGAAATTATCAGAGATTTTAAGACTGTTGTTACTGTGGATGAGCGAGAAGCAGATGAAGGAAAACAGTGTCTGTGACTATACACATCCAAGGTACAGTAAAAGTAGCACTTCCAGGGTCTTGGAACAAATTACCATAAAACTATATATATTAGAATTTAAGTTATGATAGTTTTGAGGGATCACTGAATATATTTTTAAAACACTAGTTGTCTCCCACTGAAGTAAAGTGACCAGAAAAAGATGAAACACTCACCATCACTGTCTTAACAAAAACAAACTGACATCACAGTTCAGTAATTAACATAATTTGTGACCAAAAAGATTTCTAAAAATTCAGTGAAAAAATAAAACCTGTATCAATAATTTTGTGAACAGAACAACAGAGAAATTCCATAAAAAATATATATACATTTTTAATTTTTGTACCTGTAGTGTATAAGCAGGAGACTGTCTGCTAAACTTATTTGCCAATATTGACTACTATTTCAACAACTTCACATTTACATCAGCCTAATCAGGAAGATTTTTGAGAGAAGATAGGGTTGTTTAAAAAAAAAATCAATATAAAAACTAATGAAAAATATAGAAAGTCTTACCTGCATTATCTTTTGTCTAAGGAAATCCATCTTAGCATTTTCCCCATGAACCAACATCACATTTTTGGGCTCACAGTGTCGAATTAACTGCATAATTCCTTTCGCATCTGCATGTGCGCTGAATGACATATACTGTTAAAAAAAAAAAGTTTAGCTATGGCTCCACAGTTGCACATAATAGATGTTGATATAGTAATGTCATAGCAGAAATGGAAAGCAGAAGCTTTTGAATGACAAGGTTAAGGTGAATACAAGTGAACTACATCTTCATCTGCAGATGAGCATTATTATATTCATGATGAAGCATTAAACCCATAGGGGATATACCTGTGGAATAGTAGAAAATCAGGTTTGAAATGGGGAAGTAGCTGAAATTCCTTGGATCAATCTTTTGGTAGCATCCAGGAACCCTCACTCCCTTGAAGGATCAACTGCAGATAGAGGAAATATGACTGCACAAAGCAGAAAGCACTAACACATAAGATACTCACCTCCACAGCCAAGTTGACCTCCACACTGGTTCTGTTTTCAAAGTCAACCTTCTTAGCACCATTGAGGATCTTGTGCCCCACAGTACCCTGCACACAGTACCCTGGCATGATTACCTGAAACACAATAGTCAACATCAACTATATTCACATTAAGTGGTCACACTTCAATGACAACAAATATTAATTGAGACAATTCATAAATCAATCTCCCTTGTTAATATATGTTATGTAACGTACTTGAAAACTGTGTGATTAAAGTATTTGTAACGAGTATATAGTGGCAAAAAACTATCATCTTCCTCGGCTATGCTGAAATCAAAGATAACACAACTAAAGAGAATACCACCAGAAAAGTTTATTTTAATCCTTAAAATAGAATTTAAGTAAACTCTTACTGCATGACCTGTACACTGAAAGGCATACAACTTTCAGCATATATACCCTCATCCTGTATGACCCTTGTGAGTTTAGCACTTAGTTTGATTAAAATAATAATATACCCTCATCACTAATTTACACTATCACTGTCTTGTCAGAGGTGCACAGATACAACAGTTTAGATGTCACTATAAACAGCAAATATCTCAAACCCCTTCTTGAGAGTGCAGGCATTGTACTTCCCACCTCCAGGACTCAAGTCCAACTAACTGGTTTCCCAGAATTCCTTCACAAAATATTACCATGCTTACACTCCAACAGCTTGTCAAGTCCCAAAAACCACTTATCTCCACTCAATCCTATCTAACATGCTCACACATGCCTACTGTAATAACCAAACCATTCACACACACAACTTCTTTTACCCCCCTCCCTCCATCCTTACCCAGGACAACCCCTTCCTTGCCTTTCATTCATTACAGATTTGTACACCCTATAAGTCGTCCTATTTTACTCCATCATCTCTAAAAAGACACTTCAACAACCCCTCTTCAATCCTCTGGATAATACTTTTAGTGACTCCACACCTCCTCCTAATCTTCAAATTACAAATTCTCTGCATAATATTTACACCATACATTGCCCTCAGACATGACATCTCCACTGCCTCCAGCCTCCTCCTCACTGCAACATTCACAACCCATGCTTCACATCCATATAAGAGTGTTGGTACCACTATACTCTCATACATTTCCTTCTTTGCCTCCATGGGTAATGTTTTTGTCTCCACAGATACTTCAATGCACACCCACCTTTTTTCCTTCATCAATTTTATGATGTACCTCGTTTTTCATGTATCCATCTGCCGACACGTCCACTCCCAAATACCTGAACACATTCACTTCCTCTATACTTCCTAACTCCAATCTGATATTCAATTTTTCCTTACCTTACTCTTATCTATGTTCACTTTCAACTTCATTCTTTTACACACCCTCCCAAACTCGTCCACTAACTTTTGCAATTGTCTTCAAAATCTCACAAAAGCTCAGTATCATAAAAAAGTAACTGTGCTAACTTCCATTTTGTATTAGATTCCACATACTTTAATCCCACCTCTCTCCTCAGCATTTACTTCTTTTACAATCCCATCTACAAATATGTTAAACAGCCATGGAGACATGCATTCCAGTCTAAGGCCTACTTTTACTGGAAATTAATCTCCCTCTCTCTTATTTACCCTAACCTGACCTTCGCTATCTTCATAAAAACTCTTTACAGCATTTATTAACTTACTACCTATGCCATACACTTGCAACATCTGTCACATTGCTCCCCTATCAACTCTATCATATGCCTATCATATATATATATAGTTTTTTCAGATGCTGCAATAACCAAAATAAAAATGTTTGGGTTACATCTTCACTTAATTCATAGTATGTGGAGGAAGATATCTATAATTTACATATACAATAGCCAAAATAATCATGCTTACCATATTGCTTGCATTAGGGGCCCACTTTTTGAATACTGCCAAGGAAAGGCCAGCATGCAGCATGCCTGGAGTAGCAAATACCACCATAGGACCAGGATTATCCATGTATGATTTGTCAAATGGTTTTATGTGCTTAAAGTCAAACATATTACGATGGACAAAAGTTCGTCGAATTTTTTGATTTGTCCATGTGATGAACATCCTGTAGTATTTATTTGCCTGAAAATAAATTCAACACAATTAACTTATATGTATCCAAATACTCTGCACGCACACGTGTGCGCACACACACGCGCACACACGCACACACACACACACACACACACACACACACACACACACACACACACACACACACACACACACACACACAGGCGGGGCCAGGAGCTATGAATCGACCCCTGAAACCACAAATAGGTGAGTACACACACACAGTACAGCCTCTCCTCACTTAATGACGGAGTTCTGTTCCTAGGACCATGTCGGTAAACGAATTCGTCACTAAGTGAGGAGCACTCTATAATGGTAATGGGTTCAGGTCAACCCTCTTTGATATTGTTTTAATGTCACCTTTGTGTCATTTATAACATTTCTCATATATTTTCAAATGTTTATACAGTAGTTTACTGTATATTGTAATAAACAGAATAGAGGAAATCAGCTAATATGCATTATTTAGGTATGCATACTGGTCAGAGAGCCCGTCATAAGTCCAAGTTGTCAGTAAACAAGTACGTCATTAAGTGAGGAGAGGCTGTATACATAAATAAAAACATGCAGGAGTATAGATACATCTTGTTTCTTGTACTTACACTTAGGTCACACTACACATACATGTACATACATATATACAAACCTATCTGAGTTTTCTTCTATTTTCTTAATAGTTGTTCTTATTTATTTCCTTCCATTTCCATTAAGTGTAAAAGAATCCTTACTCTGTAAGCCATAAGTGTTGTAAAAGGTGACTAAAATGACGAGAACAAGAGGCTAGTGACCTTTTGTATACATAATTACTAAATGTAAAAAGAAGTGTTTCTTCTTTTTCAGATCACCCTACCTTGGTAGGAGATAGCCGGTGGGTTAAAAAAATATATATATATATATACAGTATATATATACAGGAGGGTCCCGCTTACTCAGCACCCTCTTTTTGGTGTTCCATGTTTTCATTGGTTTTCAGCTGACCCACTGTTCATTATGTTCAGTGCTTTTACCACTTTATTGCCATTTTTCACACAACAGGGAAAGGTGATGAACAAAATATTTTAAAGTTAGTATTGTGTATTTATTTAAATTTTTTATCTGTTTTTTTATGCCTAGCTGTATTGAGCGCTTGATATAGTGTAAACACGTCTGGCATTTTAGATGGATTCAGTAATGAAAAAGAGGCTCTTTTTCACCCGCTGGTGATTTTCGCTTATTGCACAGGTCAGAAACTTAAGAGTCATACAAACAGGGCTCTCCTTTATACACTATAACTGGCTCTTAAGAACTCCCCTTCATAAAGAGATTTAAATTCCATTTCAGAGTTAATGAAACCAAGTTCCAGATAATTATACACTTTTTCAGTAATGTCACAAGCAAACCCATGATAACTTGTTTGTTTTCACCAACAACAACATCATACATAAAAAACACACATTTCTAAAGCCAGTATATAAACATAAGTAATAAGAGGAAGGACCAAGTAGGGTTATACATAAAAAAAAACTCATCCAGGATTCCTTGTGTTATAAGCTGAAACATATTCTTTGGTTCTGAAAGGTACAAGATGTCAGATTCTTGTGACTAAAAAAAAATGCCTTTACTTAGAAAACATTGATGCTCTTCTTGATGGGCATTAAAGAAATTCACAACAGGATTAGGGAGCTACTAATCAGAGCTTCCTTGATTGGTAAATATAATTCAACTTTCTGAATTATAGCTTTGTAACCTTCACTCTATCTTCTACTTTTTACACCACAAATTATTTGTATAATACCAACACCAAGAATGGTATGTCCATGGCTTCTAGGCTCATTCTTGTTTTACCAGTTATTCCACACATTTGCAAAATCTGCCACATTATCTAATCCAGTCTATCATATGCCATTTATAAATCCATAAATGCAATAGACAGCTCCTTATCCTTACCCTTTTGTACAGTATAGAGATTATGACTGATTTTTATATTATTATTATAATCAAAAAGAAGCGCTAAACCACAAGGGCTATACAGCGCTGGCTGATTATAATTTTTTTTTTTTGGTGTATGTTTTTTGAACAAAATCTTTTCTTTTTTGACTTAAGAAATCGTAATGACACGATTGCAAATAAACCATACCCCCGGCCGGGATTGAACCCGCGGTCATAGAGTCTCAAAACTCCAGCCCGACGGGCTGGAGTTTTGAGACTCTATGACCGCGGGTTCAATCCCGGCCGGGGGTATGGTTTATTTGCAATCGTGTCATTACGATTTCTTAAGTCATGTTGACGGCAGTGAAGGGACTTGAACTAGAGTTCGTCACGGCCACGCTAGCTGGAGATTCGTCTGTAAAAACTTGCATTTGTGGTCACAGAGGTGCCTGTGCTAACCTTCCTATGGTGTAGAAATATACCTAGTTGGATGAATCTTATTGTGGCTAGCTGGTCTAGTGGTTAGCGCGACGGGCTGGAGTTTTGAGACTCTATGACCGCGGGTTCAATCCCGGCCGGGGGTATGGTTTATTTGCAATCGTGTCATTACGATTTCTTAAGTCATGTTGACGGCAGTGAAGGGACTTGAACTAGAGTTCGTCACGGCCACGCTAGCTGGAGATTCGTCTGTAAAAACTTGCATTTGTGGTCACAGAGGTGCCTGTGCTAACCTTCCTATGGTGTAGAAATATACCTAGTTGGATGAATCTTATTGTGGCTAGCTGGTCTAGTGGTTAGCGCGACGGGCTGGAGTTTTGAGACTCTATGACCGCGGGTTCAATCCCGGCCGGGGGTATGGTTTCTTTTCTTTTTTATTTTGTATATGACTATTTCATGCACATGTAGTAGGATCATATTTTTCATAAACTTTCAATGAGAATTGTAGAATTTACAATCACAAAACAAATGCCTGTGTTTTATGTATTATAATGGGTTTGCTCTATATGAATTCACTTTATGTATCAAGGCTCATGAATGCATTTATTGCAAAATGCCAGTAACACCTGCTACAGGGAGCAATAATGTCCTTAACATTATGTTGCTTTCATCAACAATGTTGGAGAATGAATGAAGATGCTTACTGTTTCTGCAAGACCCATGGTAAAATAAATGGGCACTTTAAGATTCATTCGATCCCAGTAGGTGTCAAGCAGAATACACAGTTCTTGCACACGGCCAAGAGCAAACACAGGGATGAGAACCTTGCCTCCTCGGTCTACACAGTCATGCACTTTCTTTAGAAAGTCACGTTCTCTGTGAACAGAAAGTGTGGCAAGTTAACATCAATAATTTACATTATTATTATTGTTTTTATCATTAATCATTATTATATTCAAGAAAATTGGTAAACCAGTGTGTCACATAGCAGTGAAAAACATGACAGGGAGAGGGATAAGAGTGTTGAGGAACACTGACAGAAAAGAAGGGATCACAGTTTGTGGCAAATCATCATAGTTAACCCTTAAACTGTCCACACGTAGATCTACGTTCACGTGCGTAGTGCTCCAAACGTAGATCACTGTTTTATTTTTCATTCCTTCAAAATTGGCATGATAGGCCTGAGTCACCTAGACACAAGAGAATGGGTCTGCGCACTCAGTGTGTGCAGTATGAAAAAAAAATCGGGGATGCCGGGGTAACACGTGGTAACACCAGTTAGTTTCAGCTCCATCTTGGGTCAACATCATGGCAAACCCCCGTCATTCACTCATGCCTCATTGTATTAACACTGTTATTCTCGGAAATAATACAGAACGCTAGTTTAGTGGATTTGACACCGATATGGCCACTAATGATCAAGGAATTTGTCAAACTTTTGATGATAACCCAGATGACCCTCAGCCCAGCACTTCTGAGGTGGCCAGTGTGGCTAATGTGGCCACAACAAACCCTCAGCCCAGCACCTCTGGGATTGCTAGTGTTACTACCTAAAGGCAACTCCGCAAGAGGAAATTATCATTTTCCATGCGTTATGGTGCTGACGATAGTGAAAGTGATATGTGACAATGATGAAATCGATTTTATGCCCACAGACGATTCGTCGGGTGAAAGTGAAACATACTTTTAGGCGTCATAACCTACGTTCACGCAGTGCCATATGCAGTTGGAAGGTCACGATCCAAAACTCCAGCCACTGATAGTGATCATGAAGGAGTGTATGCTGGGATGGAGGAAGAGGGAGGTTGCATTGTGCCTGGACCTTGTGGTGCAGTGGGTGGGCAGACAAAGGACCACCCAGCACCCTCTTAACCATGTACTGCCTCCACTTCTGTCCCTCCTCCTGCTCCCCCACTCCCTATGCCACAGGTCCAACTTGCACCATGTGACCGTAAATGGAACTGGACAGAAAGTACACCATTCGTGCCACATCCTTTCAATTTTGATGCCAGTGGAAGTGCCATCATGCCACACTGTCCCATCACAAATGAGGCTACAGAGTTAAACTATTTTCAACTATGATGAGCTGATAATGAACTTGATTGATACCCAGACCAACATGTACTACTGTATGCAATGGACCACACACGTTTCAGAATCGTCATGGCCGTGCAGGTGGAAAGATACAACTGTGGCTGAAATGTATTTATTCCTTGGCACTGTCATGTTTATGCCACACACATATAAGAACAATATAGCACACTACTGGTCTACAGACCACTTCATCAGTACTCCAGTCTTTCGTGACCTCCTTTCCTGCAACAGATTCACTCTGTTGCTATGAATGTTGCACTTCTGAGACAGGAATACGCCAAACCGAAATGACCTCTTACAAAATCCAGGAATTCTTTATGTATCTGTAGAACATAAGAAAGGAGGAACACTGCAGCAGGCCTGTTGGCCCATACTAGGCAGGTCCTTTACAATTCATCCCACTAACAACATTTGACCAACCCAATTTTCAATGCCACCCAAGAAACAAGCTCCGATGTGCAAGTCCCTCTCAAATCCAACCCCTCCCACTCATGTACTTATCCAACCTAAATTTGAAACTACCCAAAGTCCCAGCCTCAATAACCCAACTAGGTAGACTGTTCCACTCATCAACTACCCTATTTCCAAACCAATACTTTCCTATGTCCTTTCTAAATCTAAACTTATCTAATTTAAATCCATTACTGCGGGTTCTCTCTTGGAGAGATATCCTCAAGACCTTGTTAATATCCCCTTTATTAATACCTATCTTCCACTTGTACACTTCGATCAGGTCTCCCCTCATTCTTCGTCTAACAAGTGAATGTAACTTAAGAGTCTTCAATCTTTCTTCATAAGGAAGATCCCCAATGCCATGTACTAATTTAGTCATCCCACGCTGAATGTTTTCCAACGAACCCATGTCCATTCTGCAACATGGAGACCAGAACTGAGCTGCACAATCTAGGTGAGGCCCCACCAACGATGTATAAAGCTGCAGTATGACCTCTGGACTTCTGCTGCTTACACTTCCCGACACAAATCCCAGTAATCTATTTGCCTTATTACGTACGCTTAGGCATTGCTGTCTTGGTTTAAGGTTGCTGCTTACCATAACCCCCAAGTCCCTTTCGCAATCTGTATGGCTAAGTTCTACATTATTTAACTTATAAGTGCTAGGGTTATGGACACTCCTGAGCTTCAGAACCTTGCATTTATCTACATTGAACTGCATCTGCCACTTTTCTGACCAAGAGTAGAGTTTGTCTAAATCCTCCTGAAGTTCCCTAACATCTACGTTTGAATCAATTATCCTACCTATCTTCGTGTCATCGGCGAATTTGCTCATAGAAGCAAAAATAAAGTGCCTACTTTTATCCATTCAAGAACATTGTTGTTGACGAGTCCCTGGTTCTGTTCAAGGGACGACTGTTATTCAAACAATATATACTTAGCAAACATAATCGCTTTGGTATAGAACTTTATGTGTGAATGTGAGACTGGTCTTGTGTTGGATGTCATAATCTACACAGAAAAACACACTTGATGATACCAGGAACATGTTGGGCATTTCTGGTGGTGATTGCAAGATGATGGAGCCATACCTTGGCAAGGGTCATACATTGTTCACAGACAACTGGTATACAAGCCCTATGCTTGCTGATTTCCTGCGTGTGAACAATACTGATATATGCGGAACAGTGAGAAGAAATAGAAAACACATGCCAAGGTTCACTGGAGCAAGTCTAGTGGAAGCATTTCATGCCATTGACATCATGGCACTGACATGGCATGACAAACAGGACATGACGTTGCTGTCAACCATCCACAGAATGAGATGGCACAGACAGATTGAGCAGGTTCAACAATGAACCTATTGTAAAGCCAGCTGCTGTCATCGACTATACAAACAATATGCGACTAGTTGACAAGTGTGACACGATGATAGGGTTTGTTGACTCTGTGCGTAGGAGTTGCAAGTGGTATATCAAAGTGTAAAAAACCTTGTAGACATTGCAATGCTCAATGCCTTCAATATCTATGAAATAAAGACTGGGAAGTGACAACGATATGCGGAATTCACCCTCAATGTCATCAAGCAGATAGCGAAAAAGTATGGTACCATACCACACCTATACTTGCCACTCCTCAGCGACCTGTCACCCCACAACCAGAGGGGGAAGTGCCCAACCGAATAATCCCTAACTGTCACTGCCTGATACCAATACCATCTACTCCAAAGAAGTTTTCTCAGAAAAAGTGTTGTGTGTGCTTACACTACACAGCGACCCCAAGTGCGAAAAGACACATGATTCATATGTCAACAATGTGGGGTGGCACTCTGTATGAATCCATGCTTCTTTGAGTATCATACAGTGGTAGACTTCTAGAAACATAAATGGGACCTGTTAATACTTCGTATATATATGTAAAGTATATGATTGACCCAGGTGTACAAGTTCATCTATCAGTGTGAACATGTGTGTTTGTCAAAGAATGATTACTAATTCAGTACCAAACATTTGTGCCTTAACAAGAATTGGTATGAAATCAAAAGATCTGCAACATAACATTATTTTCATAATATGAAAATGACAAAAAATAGAAAGGAATAGGAAAAAACGATAAATGTTTATTATTTCTGCAAGTGGCAGTGCTCCATGTTGCCGACACCTCATCATTTAGCACCAGCTTTGCGGCTTTATATCTAGGTAAGTACTGGCCCTAATTTTTTTTAATCCTGTAACATAAAAGTGCTCTCTTCATTTAATTTTTTTTTTTTTTTTTTTTTTTCAAAATATTCGGAGTGCTACACAGGTGAACATAGACCTACGTTTGGACAGTTTAAGGGTTAAGAAATCATAGAGATTTTGCATTAGAGGTGAGATGGTGAAAGAAGGCAGACAAAGCAAGCATGTCTGCTGCCACCCTGGTGAGGGTAGTCCCAGTCAGTGTACAGCAGCAACAAAGACTACTCCCCCCTGCTCCCAAAAAAAGAAATTGCCTTTTGGGGTGTTAATGTTTTATAATGATTACACTAGAGACCAGATCAATTTGAGAGAAGCACATGGCTGTTTATAATATTTACAGATGGGGCTGTAAAAGAAATGAATGCTGAGGTGTTAGGGAGAGGTGTGGAATTAAAAGATAAAGAATCTAATACAAAGTAGGAGTTGTCACAGCTGCTTTTTCCCATGGCAATGACATGGTACTTTGGGGAGATTATGCAGAAAAGTTGCAAAGGTTAGTGGACAAAGTTGGTAGAGTATGTAAAATAAGGTAATTGAAAGTGAGTATAGGAAAGAGCAGGGTGATAAGAGTAACAAAAAATTTAAGACATGAAGAGTGGATATCAGATTGGAAGGAGGGAATGTGGAGGAAACAAATGTGTTCGGATATTTACAAGTGGACTTGTCAGCGGATGTTTCTATGAGACAGGGCGAATCACAGAAGAGACAGGAAAAAAAGGCGGGTGGTGCATTGAGGCATCTGTGGAGACAGAATGTTATCCATGGATGCAAAAAGTGAAATATATGAGAGTATAATGATACCAACACTCTTATATGGGTGAAGCATGGGTTGTGAATGCTGCAGTACAGATGTCATGTCTGAGGGCAATGTGTGGTGTGAATATTATGCAGAGAATTCACAGTTAAGAGATTAGAAGGAAATGCAGGATTACTAAAAGTAACCCTGCACCTGAGGAGGAGTTATTGAGGAGGTTTGGACATTTAGAAAGGATGGAGCAAAATAGGATGAATTGGAGTATGTATGTTGGAGGGAAGAAGGGGTAAGGGTCATCCTATGAAAGGTTAGAGAAAAGGGGTGCAGGAGGTTTTGTATGCAAGGGGCTTGGACATCCAACAGACTCGCATGTTAGGCATGAGTGGAGGCAAGTGCTTTTTATGACAACATACTGCTGGAGTGTGAGCATAGTAACTTTTATGAATAATACTAATAATAATAATAATAATAATATTTATTTCAGCCTGATACAATGTACAAAGGAGAATGACATTTGGGTGTACATGCCGAAAGCAGAGCATTTTGGGTAAACTTCAGACTAACTTAAGATTAGTAAAGCAATAACAATGAGTAATTTTTGTACGTACAGTCACTTAGGTGAGTGTAAGTGTAATTTAGGAGTTCATAATATAGTTCATGCTATATGGGTTTAACAAGTTTAACCGAGAAGAATTACAGTTTTGATTATCAACCTAAAGGGGACACAATCAGTTGTTTAATGTTTGGGAGGATTACAGGTATTGAGAGTAAGTTAGTATTGTTTATAATGTTTTACATTATTCAGGAATTCAGGGAAACAGGTTAACTGCACTTGAATCCTGGAGGTGGAAAATAGTGCCTGCACTGTATTATCCACCTCCAGGAGGGAAGGAATATTGCAGTTTGGAGGGACATCTGAGATGTAACGTTGACGTGCCTCTGGCAAGACAGTAATAGTGAAAGTGTCTCTTCATTTTTGGATCACCCTACCTTGGTGGGAGACAGCTGGTGTGTTTGAAGAAAGACTCCTCCTGTACTGCTTCCATGATGCAATTTTTGCCATGTGTTAGACCCTACTGATGAATACACTACATATATGAGCCTATTTATATTTAGATATTTGTAGGTACAGCAGCAGAGCTAAGCCTGTGGCATTTTGTCTTCTGTATCTAGTCTATAATAAAGCTTTGATGCAAAAGACATCACTACATGGAATAAAAAAAAACTTGTATGAAACTTCTGTGAAAAGTAGCATATGAAAATGTTGATACAATGAAATGCAACCCTGCATTTTACCTGGTATACTCAACAGGTTTATTCTTTATAGTTCTTACATTCTCTTGTCCCCTTCTGACTCCTACAAAGAACATATGCATGCTTTCTGCCAGTCCCTAGGTAAAATGTCACTATGTATATTTTCTCATACTAATGACTAATTTTTATAGATAAATATTTGATATGATTCTGATTTGATGTCATCACAGATTATAATGACACTTCTGAAACTATTGTTAAATAAACATAAATTTTTTTCTGCCTCACTAGGAATAATTATTACTTATTCCCAATACTAGCAGAAATTGTTGAAGGTCAAAATAAAAATATTTATAAAATAGTAATAAGATCTGCTAAATCATAATTGGAAAGAAAAAGTTAATAAGAGAATCTTGTAGATTACCACAAGAGAAAATAGAATGGGCACTCCATAATGTGGATTAATCACAAAATATTTCTTAAAATACAGTTTGTGTTTTCTGTTTCAATTATGTTTTCCACAATTATTTTATATTGTACCTGAAAAATCCCAGAATAGTTACTGAAGCATTTTTTCTTTTTTTGTTTTAGCTTATTGCATTTCCTAAAATAATGAAAAAAATATTTTGTTTTAATTTGCCTACATGTAGACATCTTAAAACTGAAGTAAAACAACTGCAAAATAAATGATGAGCTACAGAGTTAATAAATTGGGTATTTCACACAATAAAAAATTCAGTCACAACCTGCAGCGTTTTGAGTCTCGAATTGTTGTGGCATACGTGGATTCAGAAATTAGAAGATCAGGACGGCACTTGTCAATCCACGCGGCACCAAGGTGCCGATCTGGTGTCATGTTGTAATCACCCTGGAAAAATATAACTTACATTAAGAAAATATTACTTTACATAAGTTTGTCTTATTATCTTACTCACAGGAAGCAGCCAACAATATAAACTCGTAATATGCTCATTGGTACTGCTTTAAAACTGTTTCACTGCATATCAGGATAGGATGAAGTCTTCAGGATCATCAACTCATCAAACAAGGCATGATGAATCTTATATAGACATTAAAATATGAAACAAGTTTGGTTGATAAAAATATCAACCACATCTTCAATATACTATTACCATATCACTTGAGTCACAATGCTCTCATGAACACACTCGCCTTCCAAACTCTGTGTTTATCAGCCAAGATACAAGTTAGTACAATGCAGCACAATAGTCTAATGATAGTAACCAATTTGCAACACATTTGTGAGGCCACACCAAAAAATTACAAGCTTAGTATTATACCACATATACCAGCATCAATAGTAGCACCCCCATAATGTACAGTACATTCCTGTTTTTTTCCTAAATCATTTGATTTTAACAAAATAGTAAGATACACCTGTAGGTTGGTAGACAGCAACCACCCAGGGAGGTACTACCGTCCTGCCAAGTGAGTGTAAAACGAAAGCCTGTGATTGTTATACATGATGGTAGGATTGCTGATGTCTTTTGTCTGTCTCATAAATATGCAAGATTACAGGTATGTCTTGCTACTTCTACTTACACTTAGGTCACACTACACATACATGTACACATTTATTTATACACACTCATCTGAGTTTTCTTTGATTTTATCTTAATAGTTCTTGGTCTTATTACTTTTCCTTTTATATCCATGGGGAAGTGGAATAAGAATCTTTCCTCCGTGAGCCATGCGTGTTGTAGAAGTCAAATAAAATGCCAGGAACAATGGGCTAGTAACCCCTTTTCCTGTAAAGATTACTAAAAAGAATAAGAAGAAGAAAATTGTCAAAGTGGGAAGTCTGAATGTGCGTGGATGTTGTGCAGATGATAAGAAAGAGATGATTGAGGATGTTATGAATGAGAAGAAGCTGGATGTCCTGGCTTTAAGTGAAACAAAGCTGAAGGGGGTGGGAGAGTTTCAGTAGAGAGGAATAAATGGGATTAGGTCAGGGGTTTCAAATAGAGTTAGAGCTAAAGAAGGAGTAGCAATAATGTTGAAGGATAAGCTATGGCAGGAAAAGAGGGACTATAAATGTATTAATTCAAGGATTATGTGGAGTAAAATAAAGATTGGATGTGAAAAGTGGGTTATAATAAGCGTGTATGCACCTGGAGAAGAGAGAAGTGTAGAGGAGAGAGAGAGATTTTGGGAAATGTTGAGTGAATGCGTGGGAGTTTTGAATCAAGTGTGAGAGTAATGGTGGTTGGGGATTTCAATGCTAAAGTGGGTAAAAATGTTATGGAGGGAGTAGTAGGTAAATTTGGGGTGCCAGGGGTAAATGTAAATGGGGAGTCTTTAATTGAGCTATGTGTAGAAAGAGATTTGGTAATAAGTAATACATATTTTATGAAAAAGAGGATAAATAAATATACAAGGTATGATGTAGCACGTAATGAAAGTAGTTTATTAGATTATGTATTGGTGGATAAAAGGTTGATGGGTAGGCTCCAGGATGTACATGTTTATAGAAGGGCAACTGATATATCGGATCATTATTTAGTTGTAGCTACAGTTAGAGTAAGAGGTAGATGGGAAAAGAGGAAGGTGGCAACAACAAGTAAGAGGGAGGTGAAAGTGTATAAACTAAGGGAGGAGGAAGTTCGGGTGAGATATAAGCGACTATTGGCAGAAAGGTGGGCTAGTGCAAAGATGAGTAGTGGGGGGGTTGAAGAGGGTTGGAATAGTTTTAAAAATGCAGTATTAGAATGTGGGGCAGAAGTTTGTGGTTATAGGAGGGTGGGGGCAGGAGGAAAGAGGAGTGATTGGTGGAATGAAGTAAAGGGTGTGATAAAAGAGAAAAAGGTAGCTTATGAGAGGTTTTTACAAAGCAGAAGTGTTATAAGAAGAGCAGAGTATATGGAGAGTAAAAGAAAGGTAAAGAGAGTGGTGAGAGAGTGCAAAAGGAGAGCAGATGATAGAGTGGGAGAGGGCACTGTCAAGAAATTTTAATGAAAATAGAAAAAATTTTGGATGTGAGTTAAACAAGTTAAGAAAGCCTAGGGAAAGTATGGATTTGTCAGTTAAAAACAGAGTAGGGGAGTTAGTAGATGGGGAGATGGAGGTATTAGGTAGATGGTGAGAATATTTTGAGGAACTTTTAAATGTTAAGGAAGAAACAGAGGCAGTAATTTCATGCAGTGGTCAGGGAGGTATACCATCTTTTAGGAGTGAAGAAGAGCAGAATGTAAGTGTGGGGGAGGTACGTGAGGCATTATGTAAAATGAAAGGGGGTAAAGCAGCTGGAACTGATGGGATCATGACAGAAATGTTAAAAGCAGGGGGGGATATAGTGTTGGAGTGGTTGGTACTTTTGTTTAATAAATGTATGAAAGAGGGGAAGGTACCTAGGGATTGGCGGAGAGCATGTATAGTCCCTTTATATAAAGGGAAAGGGGACAAAAGAGACTGTAAAAATTATAGAGGAATAAGTTTAACTGAGTATACCAGGAAAAGTGTACGATAGGGTTATAATTGAAAGAATTAGAGGTAAGACAGAATGTAGGATTGCGGATGAGCAAGGTGGTTTCAGAGTGGGTAGGGGATGTGTAGATCAAGTGTTTACATTGAAGCATATATGTGAACAGTATTTAGATAAAGGTAGGGAAGTTTTTATTGCATTTATGGATTTAGAAAAGGCATATGATAGAGTGGATAGAGGAGCAATGTGGCAGATGTTGCAAGTATATGGAATAGGTGGTAAGTTATTAAATGCTGTAAAGAGTTTTTATGAGGATAGTGAGGCTCAGGTTAGGGTGTGTAGAAGAGAGGGAGAATACTTCCCGGTAAAAGTAGGTCTTAGACAGGGATGTGTAATGTCACCATGGTTGTTTAATATATTTATAGATGGGGTTGTAAAGGAAGTAAATGCTAGGGTGTTTGGGAGAGGGGTGGGATTAAATTTTGGGGAATCAAATTCAAAATGGGAATTGACACAGTTACTTTTTGCTGATGATACTGTGCTTATGGGAGATTCTAAAGAAAAATTGCAAAGGTTAGTGGATGAGTTTGGGAATGTGTGTGAAGGTAGAAAGTTGAAAGTGAACATAGAAAAGAGTAAGGTGATGAGGGTGTCAAATGATTTAGATAAAGAAAAATTGGATATCAAATTGGGGAGGAGGAGTATGAAAGAAGTGAATGTTTTCAGATATGTACTTGGGAGTTGACGTGTCGGCGGGTGGATTTATGAAGGATGAGGTTAATCATAGAATTGATGAGGGAAAAAAAGGTGAGTGGTGCGTTGAGGTATATGTGGAGTCAAAAAAACGTTATCTATGGAGGCAAAGAAGGGAATGTATGAAAGTATAGTAGTACCAACACTCTTATATGGGTGTGAAGCTTGGGTGGTAAATGCAGCAGCGAGGAGATGGTTGGAGGCAGTGGGGATGTCCTGTTTAAGGGCAATGTGTGATGTAAATATTATGCAGAAAATTCAGAGTGTGGAAATTAGGAAAAGGTATGGAGTTAATAAAAGTATTAGTCAGAGGGCAGAAGAGGGGTTGCTGAGGTGGTTTGGTCATTTAGAGAGAATGGATCAAAGTAGAATGACATGGAAAGCATATAAATCTATAGGGGAAGGAAGGCGGGGTAGGGGTCGTCCTCGAAAGGGTTGGAGAGAGGGGGTAAAGGAGGTTTTGTGGGCAAGGGGCTTGGACTTCCAGCAAGCGTGCATGAGCGTGTTAGATAGGAGTGAATGGAGACGAATGGTACTTGGGACCTGACGATCTGTTGGAGCGTGAGCAGGGTAATATTTAGTGAAGGGATTCAGGGAAACCGGTTATTTTCATATAGTCGGACTTGAGTCCTGGAAATGGGAAGTACAATACCTGCACTTTAAAGGAGGGGTTTGGGATATTGGCAGTTTGGAGGGACATGTTGTGTATCTTTATATGTGTATGCTTCTAAACTGTTGTATTCTGAGCACCTCTGCAAAAACAGTGATAATGTGCGAGTGTGGTGAAAGTGTTGAATGATGAAAGTATTTTCTTTTTGGGGATTTTCTTTCTTTTTTTTGGGTCACCCTGCCTCGGTGGGAGACGGCCGACTTGTTGAAAAAAAAAAAAAAATATTTTTAACTCCATGGGGAAGTAGAACAGAATTCTTCCTCCGTAAGCTTTGTGTGTCGTAAGAGACTACTAAAATGCCAGGAGCAAGGGGCTAGTAACCCCTTCTCCTGTATACATTACTAAAGTAAAAAAAAAGACTTGTTTTTCTTTTTGGGTCACCCTGCCTCAGTGGGATACGGCTGGTTTGTTGAAAGAAGAAAGAAGAAATATTTTTATGTAAGTGTATGTGGTATAAAAATTCCTTTTAAATGCTAGCAATTTTATTAGTGTGCACTGGATACCTCACTGTGAACAGGACACAAATATTTAAATTCATTCTTAAGATATACGAAAATATTGCACATAGCATAGGTTTGAGTGTCAAGGTTACTGTGTAGCAGTTTCTAGAATTTTTTTTTGTTAATGCTGATCATCACCCACGGAGGCAGTGTGACCCAAAAAATAGAAGAAATTAAAATTTTTCTTCATTTTTACATTTAGCAATTTATACAGGAGAAGGGTTTACTAGCCCTTCCTCCCAGTATTTTAGTCATCTCTAATGACACACATAGAACTATAAAAAATATATAATAAAAATTAACAAAGTTCTGCCCTACAAAAAGAAAATGAACGAAACAACAACCGTACAGAACTAGACATCAAATAAATTTTAAAAATTATATTAAAAAGTAACATAAGGTCTCCTCTGTAGTGATTTAAGATTATTATTATTCATACTTTTTTCTGTTAGACAAAAAAAAAATAGATAATAGAAAACTATAATTCATTATTTGATCATGTAAGTAACAAGCATTTACAATACAACAAACTGATGAATCGGTCTTGATCACCCTCACCAATTTATTTCTCATATTCACTTCACATGTCACATAGTTGCAGGGACACAGGAATTATATTACCACTTGTTTTAGGCACATACTGTACACTCTTGGTAACTGCTACTCACAATATACACAAGGCACTGTAATCAAGAACATACACTCCTGGTAGCTTCTACTCAGTGTATACATGACACCCAGTGATCTAGCACAAATACACTTGGGAAACTGCTACTCGGTGCATACACAACACTTAGTAAGCAAGCACATACACACTGGGTAAACTGTTACTCACTGTATACACGAGGCTCTGTGATCCTACTCTGATATGGAACATGGCAGCTCCAAGCACATGACCAGCATAATAAGCTTTAATCTCCAACTCACTGTCCACCTGAGAAAAAGCAAAACATGATGATGCCTTAATCAAAGTGCTAAATAATTTCAGAAAAATATTGTGCACACTTTGAATATTATAAGCCCTAGGTATCTCAAGAGATCTGCCAGAAAGAATCCAGTGTTGGCAAGTTTAATCCCTCAGCTCTTACAAGAACATAAGTAGAATGAAATTGTCAAAGGGATTAGAGGAAAAACTTTCCAATTATGTAGTTCCTAGGGGTAAGAGGAGATAAGCTGGCTGGGCAGCCATAAGCTGGCACACAGCAGAGGAAACTATACAGGAACGAAGGAGTTCCTAACTGGAATACAGTGAGTCTCTATACTTAAGAGGTCAACAAAAGGAATCTCAAACAAACATGTGCAGAAGTCACAGAAAGATTAACTCCAAGCTAATAAGTAAGAAATACAAATACAAGTACTTACCTTAGTTCAATAAACAAAGCAAGGAAGCAAAATTGTGGATATAGGAAAGAGTGAAGCAAATGCACAACTAAAGAAACATATCAAAATCACTAATATTGAAGCGGGAAGGTAGTACGAACATAACATAGATACCAAAGTGAAGAATCAGCCCAAGATATTCCACAGTCACATAAAAAAAAAATCAGTGAAGGATCAAGTAATCAGAAACTAATACAGGAAACTGCTCAGACAATGTCATGAAGTATGGGGGAACTCAATAAAAGATTCCAGAAAAGATTTATATTTTGAAAAAAGGACAACTGCCACACCTAGAGAAGGAAGGATATCCCCCAAGGTATATTGATGCAGAGAGTGCTAAGAGAAGAGGAAATGAAACACCTCAAGAAGCTGGATATAGAAACAAAGGATCAGACAGGAGCTCTTGCCTTGAATAATAAGGGAGGCTGACACCACTAACAAGCTAATGATGAAACTAGACACCTGCAAAATGACAAATATACGTACTACAGTCAAAAATATTAAAAAGGAGGAAGATAAACAGGAAATCCTAGAGATCAGTATCTCCAATGTGTGTGCACTGCCTTATAGAAATGGAGATAATAAGAAACTGTGTGAAAGACCACCTGGAAAGTAAAGGATTTATAATGAACCAAAGAACTTGGATCATGCAACATGAATCTTCACCACAAAGGCAACTAATTTAAAAATTCTTATCAGTTCCTAAAAATATATGAAAATAGTCAGCAATGTCTATAATGACCCATTTATTTCCTATATTTCAATTTTCATAAGAAATGAGACTAGGCAAACACACAACTGCCACCCATTCTTTTCATGTCATTTCTTAACTCATATACATCAAGTAAGAGAGAGAGTGAAAGATCTTAACCCATTGCTAAGGTATTTGATCATATCTCATTGTATTTACAATGTAGACTGTCAAGTGATATGATTCAAACAGTCCTTTCTTTCAACAGATAATTTACCATGACTGTCCATCATTTTCAACATATGATCTCACACCTTCATGAGGTTATCATGTAGCTGCTTTACCATTCACTTAAGATTTCATTACAAATGACTACACCAACCCAATAAACCTTGCTGAACCCTTTTCCCCCTACCTCTCTCTCCAATAACTTGATCACACTCCTTTCATCACTTTCTTCTCAACTTAATATAGCCATGCTTTATAAAGTATATAGGTGTAGCTTTCTTTACCTGCACTGTTTCGTGAAGTGAAACTGTGATGACTTTCTTCATACAGTCTTTGATCATACCAGACGTGAAGAAGTTTGTCTCACCCTTCCTCTCAACAGCAACCTTTCTCATGTCTTCCTGTTAATAAAACTACATTAAATACTAATTTTAATATAGTACCACAATACAAGATTGGCCCCTCAGTTAACCCTTTCAGGGTTTCGGCCGTACTAGTACGGCTTACGCACCAGGGTTTTTGATGTACTAGTACGCCTAAATTGTAGCGCCCTCAAATCTAGTGAGAGAAAGCTGGTAGGCCTACATATGAAAGAATGGGTCTGTGGTCAGTGTGCGCAGTATAAAAAAAATCCTGCAGGACACTGTGCATAATGAGAGAAAAAAACTTTGACTGTGTTTTTGGATTAAAACAGCGACTTTGCACTGTATTTTTGTATGGTATTTATTGTTGTGTTCTAGTTTTCCTGGTCTCATTTTATAGAATGGAAGACATATTACAGAAATTGAGATGATTTTGACTGCTTTTACAAAGAAAAGTACCTTGAAATTGAGCTCAAAGTAGCAGAAATGTTCGACTTTTACCAAAGTTCAAAATTAAACAAATCATGCTATGCGTCCAATACACGTCAACTGGTGAGTCTAATATTATTTCACAAATGCGCTGATATTATTTATACCATTTCTACACTAATGCAGTAGTCTGCATTACAGTAAATCTTCTATTTTTTTGTGAGAATAAAAATTCAAAGTGGAAAGCAAAAGAATGTAAGAGGGGCATGGGGACGTGACTAATGAACAGAGGAAATGTTATTTTAGTGCCAGGAATGTCTTGTTTATTCTGGACCCTATTCGGAAATTAGCATCTTTTGAAATTTGTGTGAAATTGGCAAAATTGCTAAATTCTGACCACTGTATTGGATAGTTGAAATCGGTAAATGGGTGATTTCTTGTACTCATTCGATAGAAAAAATGGAGTTTTAGCGAAATAGTTATGATTTCTGTTGACAAGTACACTGGAATTGGCCGAAAATAGGGCTCAAAGTGGGCAAAATCGCCGATGCGTAAACATCGTCGAGACCGCTAACTTCGCGAGAGCATAATTCCGTAAGTTTTCCATCAAATTTCATACTTTTGGTGTCATTATGATCGGGAAAAGATTCTCTATCTTTTCATAAGAAAAAATAAGCTTTTTTTTTTAAATTTGGCTGACCCTGAGAACAAGTCTGAGAGGGCCTGTCGACCCTGAAAGGGTTAAAGCAGCCTCTTCTCAGATTGTATCTGTGTGAACAGGAGCATGAAGTGCCTGACAGATGATACTGATGTCTTCCTTTTACCAACCTATAAAGCAGATCTAACTAAGGAGAGTCCCCAACTCAGAAATGCCCTAAGTTATATATAACTGCACTTACCAATAAGACATCTAGGCATCAATTAGTTTTACAACTGCCTAGCCATAATATGAACATGTGTATAACATAATTATCCTATGTAATATTATTTTTTATACAAACAACTTGTTTGTAAGCTGAAAAAACAGGAATACAACTGATTTGCAATAACTTTCTTTATACTGTAATGGTGTAGTAAGTACCCTTAAACTGTGTACAGCAGGGCCCCACTTATACGGCAGGTTAGGTTCCAGGCTACCGCTGTAAAGCGGAAACCGCCGTAAAGTGGAACACCATTTTTTCCACTTATAAATGCATACAAACACTAGATAACAAGTTTACACTAACATATATTAAGTTAGCAATAGAACCAGGCATCAAAAAACAATAAAAAAGTACAATACACACATAGTGCACTCATTACTTACCTTAAAATATTTATAGTCTTAATCTAGGGTGAGACAAGTACTATTTATTGTAAGAAATCAAGTGTGGTATGTATGGTAGTCAGCCAGGCTACCATACCAGGCCACCCCCCCCCCCCCAACACATAATATTCTATGATATTTAGGCATCCCAGAGCAATAAAATGTATATACAGTTCACTCATTACTTATGATATTTAAGCATCCCAGAGCAATAAAATGTATATACAGTTCACTCATTACTTACCTTAAAATATTTGTAGTCTTAATGTAGGGTCAGGAGTAAGTAAATGAGATAAAACGAATAAATGAGAGAGAGAAAGAATGAGTGCATGAGAGAGGACAGGCGCAGAGTTATGTAAACAAACCAGGTGAAGGTAAGTTTTGTAAACAAAGTGTACACATCTGGTTTGTGTACAAGTTACATTGTGTACAGGTTGTCTCTACATTGATACGGTAGAATAAATAAAGAAGAACACTCCCATTCTCATGTAACATCATTTTGAGAAGAAATGATGCTCTGAGTGAAGGTAATGGAAATAAGTCACTCTGACTTTTTTGGGTTATCCTAGGTTCTCTACACATATGTTGTTATGTATGATATGACTCAAGAAATCGTAATGACACGATTGCAAATAAACCATACCCCCGGCCGGGATTGAACCCGCGGTCATAGAGTCTCAAAACTCCAGCCCGTCGCGTTAGCCACTAGACCAGCTAGCCACAATAAGATTCATCCAACTAGGTATATTTCTACACCATAGGAAAGTTAGCACAGGCACCTCTGTGACCACAAATGCAAGTTTTTACAGACGAATCTCCAGCTAGCGTGGCCGTGACGAACTCTAGCTCAAGTCCCTTCACTGCCGTCAACATGACTCAAGAAATCGTAATGACACGATTGCATTTGTGGTCACAGAGGTGCCTGTGCTAACTTTCCTATGGTGTAGAAATATACCTAGTTGGATGAATCTTATTGTGGCTAGCTGGTCTAGTGGCTAATGCGACGGGCTGGAGTTTTGAGACTCTATGACCGCGGGTTCAATCCCGGCCAGGGGTATGGTTTATGTATGATAATCTATGTAACTGTATTTGTGTATACCTGAATAAACTTACATACATACGAAAGGAATAATTTTCTACAGTTACCCACAGTAACACATTTTCTCTTATGTTAGATTAGAGGAAATGTTATTCTTGCCGTCACTTGTACAAGTTATCTGGCTACCACATCTCATATTTATGTTTATTTATTCTATTGTGGGGTGTATTTATCATCTTTTTATGTTATGTATCGTGTTTATTATATAATTTTGAAAAAAATATCATGGATGGATTAATGAAAATGTGTATATTAACGTAATATACGACATTTAATGAGACTCGGTGATTATTATTATTATTATTATCATTTCTAATATGGCGTCACTTGTGCAAGTCGTCTGCTACCACATCTCACATTTATGTTTATTTATTCTACTGTGGGGTGTATTTATCTTATTTATATGTTATGCATCGTGTTTATTATATAATTTTGAAAAAATATCATAATGGATTAATGAAAATGTGTATATTAACGTAATATACGACATTTAAATAAGACTCGATGATTATTATTATCATTACTAATATGACGTCTGGAGACAAAAGACACTCTTACTGATTTTAATGTGTACCTGCACGCCAGCACAGTATGTAAGTTTATTTAAGTACAGGTATACATAAGTATAATTATCAGAGTATATATAAAATATGAAATAACTTTTAAAAACATTTGAAATTTTGGAGTTTCCAGACAAAATGGAGAGACTTGGTGCTTACTGAGCTCACGAAGAATGTAAACAAACAAGGTGGGGCGCGGTGACCGTATTAGAAAGTCAGGTGGGGGGAGCCGTATAGCGAGTTTTGGTCATAATTTGAAATGACCGTATTAGCGGAACACCTTAAAGTGAAACGCCGTAAAGCGGGGCCCTGCTGTACATGTAGGAGCTGTGACAGCCATGCTGATTTTGCAGTTTCTGAGAACAGTAAGTCTCAACTAAGTGTTAGAAGTGCACACCATCAAGGACTTTTGCTAATAAGCAAGAAAAATTTGCACTTGGTTTCAAGACAGAAGCAAGCTGAGGTAATTCTTAGCTGTGTACAAATGTAACAAGTAATATCAAGTGCAAACCTAAGCTAATTTATTATGCAGAAAATCCCTAGGCCCCAGCTCTTTCAAAAGATCAAGACCCAGCTTTTTGTCTATTATTTGGCGGATAACTTTAGGAAGAAAATAATGGCTCAGACAACATATGCCGGCAGTCATCTTGAAAACTTGGTCTTGATCCAAAAGTGAAAGTTGTTTTTTTAACTACTGAATGGGGAAGTGGAACAGAATTCTACCTCGGTAAGCCATGCATGTTGCAAGAGGCAACTAACATGCTGGGAGCAAGGGGCTAGTAACCCCTTCTCCTGTATACATTGCTAAAGTAAAAAGAGAAACTTTTGTTTTTCCTTTTGGGCCACCCTGCTTTAGTGAGATGCAGCCGGTTTGTTGAAAGAAGAACAATATAACATCTTTGATATATTCACTAGATCTAGGAGTTATTAAGACATTTAATTAAGTGCCACTACACTGGAAAATTTTGTAAGCAGTAGAATTTAAAAAGTACATTGTTAAATTTAGGGGTGTAAGGAACATAACTATTCTGCATTTAACATTACAGCAATTTTGTGTATAACCCTTCTAGGTTTAGCACTTTTTTGATTATAATAATCATAATATGGCAATTATAAGTTAGGCATCAATTTTCAGGAACATAACTAGTGTGTCAATTCAGGGTTTACTGAACAGTGATTGAAATAATGTTTTATATTAACAAACAATTGCAGCCTGTAAAGTTAAATGAACACAAGATAACAGGTACATCTTGCTACTTTTACTTACACTTAGATCATACTACATATGAATGTACATGTTTATATATATTCTGTCGCTCTGGCAAGACAGTGAAAGTGTGAATAATGGTGAAAGTGTTTATTTTTTGGATCATCCTGCCTGAGTGAGAGACTGCCAGTGTTTTAAAAAAAATTTGAATGAATTGGCCATCCACTGCAGTGTATAAAGCAGTTACGTTATTGTGTAAAAAATACAAGGTAGAACAAAATGTGCACTTACCAAAAGAACAGGACAGAGAGCCTTGGTGGGCTGTGTCATATATATGGGGCCATTGTAACCCACCATTTCTGTCATGAAAGGTAGTGCTCCACAGTGGTCCAAGTGAAAGTGACTGATAATAACACAGTCCAGGTAATCTGTCAAAGGACCCTCTGTGATGTAGGAGAAATCTGGGAAGCGACGATCATCATTGTACCTGTCAATAATGGCTAGTATTACTATGATCAATAATTCTGGAGGACATTTTCTTGTGTTCTGAGACTTGTTAGCTTTTGTGTGGCTTATTATGCACAATACACAATATGCAGTAGTGCAGTACTGTAAATATGTTTTATGTAGACTGTCTCAGCTTTCATCAGAATACATCCTAAACAACTCCTGGTGGCCCACAGTTTGTTTAATGTTTTTAGATCACTCTCTGAAGTCACTTTTGAAGACTTCAATAAAATCTCCTACAGCACAGAGTACTGTATTCCTCATTCTATCCTGCACTGAATCTGGCTACCACTATAGGTATTGTAGTATCTACTTAATGTGCATGGTACTAAACATAGATAACTACAAGACAAGTTGTTATGGTTGCTTAGCCTCCACTACTTACTTTGAATAACCTACACTGGTTTAACACAACATAAATACCTATTGCAGCGTTGTATAGCCCTTGTGGTTTAGTGCTTCTTTTTGATAATAAATACCTATTACCCAATTCATTATTTAGTCCTTATTGCTTTCAAAATACCATATATGATTTTAAATTCAACATTCCTCACTCCATGCAGTGACCCTTCCCTCCAAACAACAGACTACTCCTTCAAAAAAAAAAAAAAAATGTCAATATATTCTCTACTAACACTTCCACTATTGCACTACCACCTTGCAGTACTGTATACTGTATTTTACAAAATTATGAAAACCTGAGTCTACTGCATTTTTTAATCATTAACATATAAATGTTAAAAAAGTAAGCCTTCTCGACAAGTTTTATTTTTAAGTTACAATACTGTGAACTGGTCATATGTAAATACAGATAAAACTCCTATATACCCACTGAGAAAATACTGATTATAGAAGCTTTGCTTAGCATTACTAAGATTCTACTTGGTGTTACTCAGAGTGATTATAACTATGTGATCATTATATTAGCTCACAGATGGTTTATTTCATTGACACACACGCTTGCAACAAATATCTATTAATACTAGAAACTTGAAAGTCTACTTCTCTAACATAAGTGTATCCAAGATGAAAATCAAATAGAAAATAAACATATAGAGCAGTTGTTCCCAACCACTGTGTTGCTGGGATGTTTTGGATATATGATAAATACACAAAGGTTGCCTTTAGTAAAAACAAAAGTTGATATACAACTTATGTAGAGCATTATAAAGTAGTTCCTCCTCATGGAAAATTGTTGCAACTTTTTTCCAGGAGGGATGGGGAGGGGAGAGGGTAGGGAAAGAGGATAGACGAGTATGAAGCTTGACATCAGTATCTACTGTTTTCCCGTCCTGAGCCACCAAATGCCCTTTACCCCAAAGTGAATGCTATTGTCGTACATAATGACAACCCCTCAAACGTGGGTGATAACATATACGTACCCCATGTGCATGCCACAATCCAGCATAATATTCTTGCCTCCGATGGTAACCAAGATGCAGCTACGCCCCACATCCTGGCCTGCACCTGTATCATCAGAATCAGAATTATGCATACAAGTCATACAACAGTATACGGACTGGGTGAATACTGATTTCCCACAAGAATGAATTTTACTGAAAAAATTTTATGATAATATTTGGGACAATATAACTACAAAATTCACATCCTTCCACACAAACATGCTTCAATTACCCAATATTTATACTGAAGGGCAAGGGTAACAAACTGATTACAGAAGTCTTTATTGGACTACTCTGCAATCAGTCTTAATCATCAGAAGACTTGCCAGCTTGCCCTGAGTTGAACCTGGGTACTTTCAATTATGAGACTTATGTGCTACCAGGAAGAGTTAGGTTAGTTTGGTCAGGTTCATTAGGCTGGTTTGTTTAGTTACATTATATTATGTTGGTTTGCTTAGATTAAACTTATTAGATTCACTGTTAGGTTAGGTTGGTTTGGTTAGACTCGCTGTTAGGTTAAGTGTAAGAGTGTTAGTTACTGAACTTAGCATGTAGCTGCTTAGTTCAGTTTTGACTTCAGTTTCCTGAAAACAAAAATACCACCAGTTGACAATACTTTTAAATCTGTGGTACTGTACTTCATAAATTTTGTTTCGAAAAAAAACCTTAAGATTATTTCCACAGAATCACAACAGCAGCACTGGCCAATACATCAGTGGTTAAAACATTTGCCTCAAAGCTAAGAGAGCATGGAGTTGAACCCTATGGAAAGTATAGGCAAATCTAAAACCTGTTGCCCTGGTTACCTAGCAGTATGATTAAGATAAAATAGTATTCATATTTTTTTTTACCCGGAGGGTTAGCCACCCAGGATAACCCAAAGGAAGTCAATGCAACATCGAGGACTGTTAGTCTTATTTTCATTGGGGTCCTTTAATCTTGTCACCAGGATGTGACCCACAACAGTCAACTAACACCCAGGTACCTACTTACTGCTGGGTGAACAGGGACAGAAGGTGTAAGGAAACATGCCCAACATTTCCACCCAGCTGAGGATTCAACCATGGGCACTTAGTGTGTGAAATGAAAGTATTGCTTACTGAGCCAGATATCTGAAACAAATTGACTGTTCAGGGGCTTATCCTGAGAAAGAACCTAAAAAGAACCAGTAGAAATAAGCCACACTGCTTGACTTTGTGTTATAAATATAATCAACAATCACCTTTGTTAAATGACCCAGATGGGTTTAGTGGTACCTTCATAATTGTTATTATCCTGCGTTACAAACCTTCCAGGGTTAATAATCCGAGAAGTCATCATCATCATCATCATCATCTCTATAATTTAACCAAACTAAACAAGTTATTTACTTCTAGTACCTAACAAACTTAAACTATTAGGTACCTGGAGACCTGGAGTTTACCTGGAGAGAGTTACTTCTAGAACTGAACCTAAATTAAGTAACCTACTTCTACTACTTAACTGACATAAGTGCATTAGAGCTAAAAATGCAGTGGACCAGACTATTATTATTATATTAAGGAATGCTAAACCCATCCGGGTCTACAGTCCCTAGGGAATGAAGGACCCCAATGGAAATAAGTCACTCTGTCTGACTTTTTTGGGTTATTCCAGGTTCTCTACACATATGCTGCTATGTATGATAATTCTATGTAACTATTTGTGTACACCTGAATAAACTTACTTACTTACTTACTTAAGTAATAGTCAGGCTTGGTCACGTGAAAAGGGTAGCTCCTGTTCCTTGACACTCAAGAGCCCTTCACTGGCATCAAGACACTTCCAGCTGAAGGAACACTTCAAATATAAATACTGTATTAAATTTAAACTACTCTGGATGAAAGTCAGTCAGCACTGATTGTCATTACATTCATGGGGTCATATAGTGCCTGGGAGAATGGAAGAATACGAAAGATTCAGTTTTGATCCAGGGGAAGGGAATATGAAAAAAGACACTTATATACAGTGACAAAATGTCTCCTATAATAATACTAGTAGTGAGAGTAGTAGTAGTAGCAGTAGTGTGCCCTCTGTTAATGTCCAGAACTTTGCTTAAGTCTTTTGACATCTTGTCGGTATCACTATACCGGTTTTCAAGGGGAAGGGCATGTCCACTTCCTTGGATCAAGAGCCCCCTCACCAACATCAAGGAACCTCCCTGGAGAGGAACTCAACACTGATCAAAGACTTTCTCCGCCATTCAGGTGCTATGTTATTCCATTATTGGAAAACAAATACTATAACCGTATGAGCCACACAGCAGACCCTCCAATAATGTGTTACTATGAGTATTTATACTAACCCAGGGGTGTGGCTTTAATGTCAGGCATAATGTACACTTAATGTAACAACACTACAAAGTTGTTTGTTTGTTTGTTGGGTTTATCAGGGCCAGTGACAGCTTATGCAGTATCGAGCCCGACTTCCCGATGTTCGGGGAAGATTTGTTGCCCAAAGCTTGGCCATGAAAGAAAAGGACAGGAGTTCCTTCGTAAATAGAAACAGGAACTAGAATTCCCAATTAGATTTGGTGGACCACCTTGCCAAGACTCAGCAGAGCGGGACTCCCACACCCACACAAGTTCAGTAACCGGCTTCCCACCAAACAAAGAATTATCCGCAGAGCGGAAACATGGAGCTGGCTAAAAGTAAGCCGATGACCAGGTGGCCCTCCTTAATGTACCCGGCGAGGAAAGTAGATGAGGACAAGCGTTCCAGAGAGAATGGGGGTAATTTGTTACTAATACTCAGGCGAGAGAGAGAGAGAGACGTCCACATCCGACAAAGGCTGCGCAAAAGTCCACAGCGTACTGTGGAACAAATGGGGTGGCTCGTAGCCTAGTAGGCAAAGTTCTCTGGTGGCTAACGCTCTCGCTTCACACGGCGAGGGCCTGGGTTCGATTCCCAGCCAGAGTAGAAACATTGGGCGTGTTTCTTTCCACCTGTTGTCTATGTTCCCCATCAATAAAATGGGTACCTAGGTGTTAGCCGACTGGTGTGGGTCGCATCCTGGGACAAAATTAACCTAATCTGCCCAATATGCTCTGCATAACAAGGGACTTTCTACATAGTAGTATGTCACTGATGTCACCTAGGCCTGTATACCATGCACATGTTTACCTGGAGTTTACCTGGAGAGAGTTCCGGGGATCAACGCCCCCGCGGCCCGGACTGTGACCAGGCCTCATGGTGGATCAGAGCCTGATCAACCAGGCTGTTACTGCTGGCTGCACGCAATCCAACGTACGAGCCACATCCCAGCTGGTCAGTGCTTGTCCAGTGCCTGCTTGAAGACAGCCAGGGGTCTATTGGTAATCCCCCTTATGTATGCTGGGAGGCAGTTGAACAGTCTCGGGCCCCTGACACTTATTGTATTGTCTCTTAACGTGCTAGTGACACCCCTGCTTTTCATTGGGGGGGATGTTGCATCGTCTACCGAGTCTTTTGCTTTTGTTGTGAGTGATTTTCGTGTGCAAGTTCGGTACTAGTCCCTCTAGGATTTTCCAGGTGTATATAATCATGTATCTCTCCCGCCTGCATTCCAGGGAGTACAGGTTCAGGAACTTCAAGCGCTCCCAGTAATTGAGGTGTTTTATCTTCGTTATACGCGCCGTGAAGGTTTTCTGTACATTTTCTAGGTCAGCAATTTCACCTGCCTTGAAAGGTGTGTGTGTGTGTGTGTGTGCGCGTGTGTGTGTGTGTGTGTGTGTGTGTGTGTGTGTGCGTGTGTGGGTGTGTGTGTGCGTGTGTGGGTGTGTGGGTGTGTGTGTGTGTGTATGTGTGTGTGGGTGTGTGTGAGGGTGTGTGTGTGGGTGTGTGTGTGAGGGTGTGTGTGTGTGGGTGTTGGTGTGTGTGTGTGTGGGTGTGTGTGTGTGGGTGTGCGTCCTTGTGTGTATGCATATATTTGTACGCTCGTGTGCACATGTCCGTGCGTGCGCCCTCGTGTGTGTATGTGCGCGCGCGCGCTAGTGTGGGTGTATGATCCACTTAATATTTGTATTTATAACTCATTACAATTGTGACCAGGTGTGGACGTATCAGTGGTTCATTACTTTGTAATTTGTTCATGACTGTAACCATGTATAGGAGTGAAGCTGATTCATTACCTCTGTAACTTGCCATGATTAGTGACCAGATCTACCTGGAGTTCATTACCTTTGTAACTAGTTCAGCTATCATAACTTTGGGGTCCAGTCACTGGACCCATTATGTACCTTTGTAATTCTTTGACTACCGCCCACAGGATGGGTATGGGGTGCATAAAGATATTAAACTAAAGTGTGTGTGTGTGTGTGTGTGTGTGTGTGTGTGTGTGTGTGTGTGTGTGTGTGTGTGTGTGTGTGTGTGTGTGTGTGTGTGTGTGTGTGTGTGGTGTGTGTGACTCAACAATCAATATTTGCACCAATAACTCATTACAGTTGTGACCGGGTGTGGAAGTGTGAATTGCTCATTACTCTATAATTTGTTCATGATTGTAGCCAAAGTATAAACGTAAGTAACCATTCTACAGAATTCATTACCTTTGTAACTTGTGAGCTCATTGCCTTTGTACCTAGTTCAGCTATCAAAACTTTGGGGGCCCAGTCCCTGGACCCATTACGTACCTCTGTAATCTGTAAATACCTTTGTAACTTGTCATGATTGTGACCAGACTTACCTGGAGTTCATTACCTTTGTAAATTGTGAGTTCATTACCTTTGTAAATTGTGAGTTCATTACCTTTGTAAATTGTGAGTTCATTACCTTTGTAAATTGTGAGTTCATTACCTTTGTAAATTGTGAGTTCATTACCTCTGTAACTTGCTCAGCTATCAAAACTTTGGAGTCCAGTCCCTGGACCAATTATGTACCTCTGTAATCTTTTGACTACCGCCCACAGGATGGGTATGGGGTGCATAATAAACATATTAAACTAACTAACTAACTTGAAAGGTGCTGTTAGTGTGCAGCAATATTCCAGCCTAGATAGAACAAGCGACCTGAAGAGTGTCATCATGGTCTTGGCATCTCTAGTTTTGAAGGTTTTCATTATCAATCCTGTCATTTTTCTAGCAGATGCGATTGATACAATGTTATGGTCCTTGAAGGTGAGATCCTCCGACATGATCACTCCCAGGTCTTTGACGTTGGTTTTTCGATCTATTTTGTGGCCGGAATTTGTTTTGTACTCTGATAAGTTTTAATTTCCCCATGTTTACCATATCGGAGTAATTGAAATTTCTCATCGTTGAACTTCATATTGTTTTCTGCAGCCCATTTAAAGATTTGGTTGATGTCCGCCTGGAGCCTTGCAGTGTCTGCAATGGAAGACACTGTCATGCAGATTCGGGTGTCATCTGCAAAGGTAGACACGGTGCTGTGGCTGACATCCTTGTCTATGTCAGATATGAGGATGAGAAACAAGATGGGAGCGAGTACTGTGCCTTGTAGAACAGAGCTTTTCACCGTAGCCGCCTCAGACTTTTACTCTGTTGACTACTACACTTTGAGGAAATTATAGATCCATCTACCAACTTTTCCTGTTATTCCTTTAGCACGCATTTTGTACGCTATTACGCCATGGTCACACTTGTCGAAGGCTTTTGCAGTCTATATATATTACATCTGCATTCTTTTTGTCTTCTAGTGCATCTAGAACCTTGTCATAGTGATCCAGTAGTTGGGACAGACAGGAGCGACCTGTTCTAAACCCATATTGCCCTGGGTTGTGTAATTGATGGGTATCTAGATGGGTGGCGATCTTGCTTCTTAGGACCTTTTCAAAGATTTTATATGGGTCTGCAATTCTTTGCTATTGCTTTATTGCCCCCTTTGTGGAGTGGGGCTATGTCTGTTGTTTTTAGTAACTATGGGACGACCCCCGTGTCCATGTTCCCTCTCCATATGATGGTAAAAGCTCGTGATAGGGGATTCTTGCAGTTCTTGATGAACACGGAGTTCCACGAGTCTGGCCCTGGGGCAGAGTGCATGGGCATGTCATTTATCGCCTGTTCAAAGTCATCTGGCATCAGGATAACATCAGATAGGCTTGTGTTTACCAAATTCTGTAGCTCTCTCACATTGGTCTTCAGATGCATGATAGAACTGATAAATTGGCTAAGCTGTATGCTTTCAAAGAGGGAGTAGATTACACTCTTGGCTTGTCATGTAGTAGTTTGAAAACAATGATACGAAAAGAACTTCAACTGAATTTTATTGACTTAAGACTCAGGGAGATTGACACCAGTCAGTCCATCTATCATCATTCTATCATGCAGGAGGAGCCACATGTCTATGGTGCATCTAACAAAATAAGCAGACTCTTGGATGTCACTACTGCCCGGCTCCGGCTGGGTTACAAGTATCTTTGGCAGGTTAAATCACCACCACCAGATGTAGACCAAACGAAATGTAAACTTTGCCAGATGGACTATTGTCACACCCTGCGTCATTATGTACTGGAGTGTGATAAAATTAATGAATTTAGAAAAAACTCACTCAGAAGTGTTCAAGAAATGGCAAAGTATTTTATCCACAGTGGTATATTACAGACCATTCTGGAGAAATACCCTGACTTTGCTAGCTGTAAATAATGCATTACCACGTGTGTGTATGTGTGTATGTGTGTGTGTGTGTGTGTGTGTGTGTGTGTGTGTGTATGTGTGTGTGTTTGTGTATGTGTTTGTGTGTGTGTGTGTGTGTGTGTGTGTGTGTGTGTGTGTGTGTGTGTGTGTGTGTGGGTATGAGTGTGTGTGTGTTTGTGTGTGTGTGTGCGTGTTTGTGTGTGTGTGCGTGTGTGTGTGTGTGTGTACTCACTATTTGTGGTTGCAGGGGTCGATTCACAGCTCCTCTGTGTGTGTGTGTGTGTGACTCAACAATCAATATTTGCACCAATAACTCACTACAGTTGTGACCGGGTGTGGAAGTGTGAATTACTCATTACTCTTTAATTTGTTCATGATTGTAGCCATGTATAAACGTAAGTAACCATTCTTACAGGATTCATTACCTTTGTAACTTGTGAGTTCATTACCTGTGTACCTAGTTCAGCTATCAAAACTTTGGGGGCCCAGTCCCTGGACCCATTACGTACCTCTGTAATCTGTAAATACCTTTGTAACTTGTCATGATTGTGACTAGACCTACCTGGAGTTCATTACCTTTGTAAATTGTGAGTTCATTACCTTTGTAAATTGTGAGTTCATTATCTTTGTAAATTGTGAGTTCATTACCTCTGTAAATTGCTCAGCTATCAAAACTTTGGAGTCCAGTCCCTGGACCAATTATGTACCTCTGTAATCTTTTGACTACCGCCCACAGGATGGGTATGTTTACCTGGAGTTTACCTGGAGAGAGTTCCGGGGGTCAACGCCCCCGCGGCCCGGTCTGTGACCAGGCCTCCTGGTGGATCAGAGCCTGATCAACCAGGCTGTTGCTGCTGGCTGCACGCAAACCAACGTACGAGCCACAGCCCGGCT